TAACATAGGATAAACCTACTAAAATCTGTACATCTAAAGAAACTAATCAAGAGAGAGGACCCTGCTAAAATGCTCAATCCCCATCCCAAAAGGCAAAGAGGATGGACATCAGAAGAAGAAGAAAACAGGAAACCACCTAGGAACCTGCCACAGAGGGCCTCTGAAAGGCTCTGCCCTGCAGACTATCAAAGCAGATGCTGAGACTTATGGCCAACTGTTGGGCAGAGTGCATGGAATCTTATGTAAGAAGTGGGAAATAGTAAGATCTGGAGAGGAGAGGACAGGAATCCCACAAGGAGAGGAACAGAACCAGAAAATTTGAACACAGGGGTCTTCCCAGAGACTCATACTCCAACCAAGTACCAGGCATAGAGATAACCTAGAACCCCTTCACAGATGTAGCCCATGGCAATTTAGTGTCCAAGTGATGGGAGAGGGACTGCCTCTGACATAATCTGATTGGCCTGCTCTTTGATCACCTTCCCCTGAGGGGGAGCAGCCTTACCAGGCCACAGAAGATGACAATGCACCCACTCCTGATGTGATTTGATAGACTAAGATCAGAAGGAAGGAGAGGAGGACCTCCCCTATCAGTGGACTTGGGGAGGGCATGGGTGAAGAAAGAGGAGGGAGGGTGGGACTGGGAGGGGAGGAGGGAGGGGCTTATGGGGTGATACAAAGTGAATAAAATGTAATTAATAAAATAAATAAAAAAACAGTGTCTGTGCAGCCATCTCTGGTGTTGCCATACACAACACATGTGACTTTTCTTCTAGGCTCAACTGGCTCCACCCCTCGTATGCTGCTGTTCTTGCTGGTTGTCCCATGATACTGTCATCTCCAAAATGCTGGGGTCTCTACTGCAATTGGACTGCAGCTTCACCAATAGCCTCTGATAAGTTCTCTTCAGGGACCCTCACCCTGACACATGGTGCCAAACCCCAACTTCTCTCTATGAGTGTTTTAATACTGGAACTTATACTGCAGCTGGGACTGCACCTTCACCAAATGGCCTCTCCTGGCACCACACCTCAGCTGTTCTCCATGACCCCTTCATGCTTTGGAAAAGAGACCTGGGAGACTTAGACATTCTTAAGTTCATCTGCCAGCAAAAGGTACAGCCTGGCCCCTCTGTATCACAGCTTCTATGTGCTAATCTTGATTTAACGATAGATAGATAGATAGATAGATAGATAGATAGATAGATAGATAGATAGACAGACAGACAGACAGACAGACAGACAGACAGATAGCAACATAATTGAGGTAAAATCTTCTAGGAAGCGTTTTCTCAGTGTCAGCACACACAGAAGCCATGATCTGGAGTGGGGCAAGGCACTTTCAGAAGATTTTGCCTCAGTGATACAGGTCTTTTCTTAATCACAGTTGATTCTTCACCCCACAGAAGACCAGTCTCGATTGTCCTGTAAAGCACAGTTTTCATTTGAGTGGCTCTTAATTAAAAAAAATCACATGATCAGCCTCAATAAAGTTTTTGAGGGACTCTTAAACTTCCCTCTGAAACTTCACAAAGTGGGCCTCCATCGTCTGCATTGCTTTCAGTATTAATCTTTTAAGTTCCCACAACAGTTCATTAAGCTCTGAATACTCAATGGCTTTTTTAGCCTACAGTCCTTCCATAGATCTCCAAAAACACATGGTCTGGTTTGTTCTAGAAATAGCCCACTCTTTGGTACCAATTTCTGTCTCACGGTTTCTAATGTTTTGATGAATAATGAAACACCATGACCAAAAGCAACTCAAGGAGGAATGGGTTTATTTTAGCTCATGTCTCCATTGCAGGCTATCATGAAGGGAAGTCAGAGCAGGAACTCAAGGCAGGAAAATGGAGGCAGGAACTCCAGCAGAAGCCACGGATGAGTGCTGCTTACTGGCTTGCTCTCCATGGCTTGTTCATATTTCTTTCTTACACAATGCAGGGCCACCTGCAAAGGGATGACAACACCCACAGTGGGCTGGTTCCTCCCACATCAATCACTAATTTTAAAAAGTGTCCTAAAGGCTTGCCTACATTACATTTTTCTTTAATTTTTGAGACTATAACATAACTTCATTCGTTTCTCCCTATAAACTCTTACATATAGCTCTTCTTTCTCTCTTTCAAATTCATGTTTTCTTTTAGTGTCATAGCAAATTCCCTGCTCTTTGGGATTTTCTCAACTCTGATTTTTCTAAGATAATGCTATCTTGGATCAAGTTGAAAAAACAAACAAACCCATGACTGAGTATTTGTCATTATAAGCCTTGCTAGGTATATTCTGGAATGTGAGAAAATTTTAAATTACATGTCTATATAATTTTATATGAGGGTCCCATCTACTGGTTCTAACAAAGGATAAATTACTTATCACTCTGGAGAATGTACTCTGTGCACAGCATCTTCCAATATGAGTGTGTAACACCAAGCACAGAAAGTTAAACATTTTATTCAATCCTTCTAATCTTTTTCTTTTAGAGAGAGAACATATACAACTGCATGTTCATTTGCCTGTAGAGGCTCAAAGTTTTCATGTCAGGAATCTTCCTTGATTGCTGTCTTCCTGTATTCCTTTGACACAGGGTCTCTCAGTCACACTCAGAACTCGTGGGTAGGGCTAGTCTCGCTAGCCAACTTGCTGTGGGTATCCCACCTCTGCCTTCCACGGCTAGGTGGGTGGCTGTGTCCATCTGTCATTCACTGGGTTCTGGAATCTGGACTCCTGTCTTCTGAGCCACCTCCCCAGATCCTATCTTCTACTCTCCCTCTTTTTCTTCGACCTCACTTTACCACTGGAGCCTCTATAGGCTTATATAAGAACAAAGTTTACTTGTAAATGTTCAGTGGTCCTGTGTTAGGTCATGTGGGCTTGAAGACATTAGTCAGGCACAGACATGGGACATCAGAGTAAGTAATGACAAAATAGCTGAGACATAGGACAAGTGAAATGTCACAGTAATCAGATTTTTAAAAAATCCAGATTTAATCAAATGAAAAAGCCCAGGCTGTGCGTGCAGGGGTTTGCTCCCCGCTTCATAGGAAGCACTGTGGTTTTATTGCTGTTTCCTGGGTGGTGCGTGAGTTCACTTTTCTTTTTTCTCCGGGCTCTGAGATGAGGAGGCACATCTGACCTGTGTTGGTGTTAAGGGCTGTGGGGGGGAGTTGCTGTCCTCCAGGGAATCATGGCAGTTGTGCTGGCTGAGCTGCCTGTGAGGCATGCATCGTCAGGTCGGACTCCATGGCTCCCGGCCACAGTGCCCTCCAGTCCCGGAGAGACTGATGCACTCCCTCAGGCCGTGAAGTGGCCAGTCTGCTTTGCGTCTCTCTGTGGGTTCCCTCAGTGATCAAGGAAGCACGGAAACCTGACAGGGCAGTTGGTCTTACACATTAATCTTGTGTGTCCTGTACAGCTTGTAGACATCACTGTACCCTGGCAACTACAATCGTACTCACTGGTCCTGACATTTGCCTTTATATTCTGTTTCTGATAAAGGCATAGAAAGTCTGATGCCTCTCAGTGAAATTGTCACAGCCTCAGTCTTGCTGTGGTCCCTCCAGCCCAAGCCTGGTTTCATTCTTCACAGTCATATCAGGTGACCTTGGCCCAGTAAGTAAGTGGAGCTGTTTACACAGGATGGTTGGTCTGACTCCATCTTAAGCTATCTAAGATCCTTCTAAAACTGTTCAAAACAAGCAAGCAACTTCTGTCACCTTTTTTTTATGATGGGTATTAAAAAATTTTTAATTTTTAAAAATTATATGGTCTTTGGATGCATCTGTGTTGGTGGGGGGATAAGCATGTGAGTGCAGGCACTGGTGGGGCCAGAGGTGTCCGGTATCCCTGGACCTATAGTTACAGGCACTCATGAACCCCTTTACATGGGAACCAACCTTGGCCCTCTGCAAAAGGAGTGTGTGCCCTTGACCACTGAGCCATTTCTCAAGATCCATGATGGGCATATTCTCCTTGTCAGTGAACTGCCTCCACAGAAATCTAGGAGTGCACTGTGTTCTCTTCTCGTCAGCGTCGGCAACAGCAGGCGCTGCATCCACACACTGCGCAGCTGCTTCCCTGAAGCTTCGCCCTTTCTCCCCTGTCTGCGGAAGTCAGCTCTAGCCTGGCAGGCAGAGGCTCAGCACTTCCGCTGGTCCTGGGAGAGGAAAGCCTTCGGGCAGCAGCTAAATATGTCAAGTTAGCGCCATGCATCTCTGCATACAGCTGTCACAGTGGTGTTTGGGCTGGGGTTAAGTGTATCAGAGTTCCCCAAGGGAAAAGAACCATACCAACTTAGAATCGCATTTTGAGTTATCTCAGCAGTTACCTGGTACCTTGTAGCTTTTATGACTGACTGGTCTGAGCCTTTGTCACAAATAATTTGAGGAAAATTAATACCTACCTCTCAAGAGTGGTGAGCATTGAAGAAAGTAAGACACTTTCAAACTCTGGTCTGAAATAAAAATGTCATTTTTTTATTGCTCGTTGGTATGTATATAAAAAGCACGACTAAATTTGTGTAATTTCTTCCCTTAACTACATACTGAAAATCATTTCAACCTCAAATTCCCTGCAGACTGTGGAGATCTCTTGGTGAAGCCTGCCACACTGCACACAGCTGAGCGGAGCGCTTGGAGTTTAATGTAAAGGAAGGGCTGTGCACAGTTGGGGCATTTTAGAATCCACCGGCCAATAGTGCATGGGTGAGGAGATAGGTGTCTGCCATCGAGTACCATCAACTGCTTCCAGGGAACAGTTCAGCATGCTGTGGAGGGAGGCAATAAAGATGAGAGCACAGTGAATAAGTTGTTGACATCTCTTTGTGTCATTCTGAAACCTGGTAGTTTGGGCCCAACAATTCCATTGGCCCATTTCCCCTGCATGCGCCTATCTGAGTGCTTTAGCAGTGAGTCTGCCAGCTCCCATCCGGCTTCTGGGCACATAAAGGCTGAGGTCACAGCGCTTGGCTCACCGAGACAACATAGGTGCGCTGCAGGAGAGCAGTGCTCAGAGACAGATGTGGCTGTGTTCCTCGCAGGTGGTGGCCTCGCCAGCCATAGACAGGTACAGCTTCCCGTCAGGACACACACACATCTCATAGAATCCATGAGAGCTGCCAGAGGGACCCCGTGTCCCCTGCTTCAACTGGAGCAAAGCAACAGTTTCAGCATGAAGCACCACCTGTTTGGGAGACAGTGAGACATGAGACAGGAGGAAGGAGGAATGAGCTGCACCCAGAAAAATTCACATTCCCAGCACATTCCAGAAAAAGTAGTCTCCTCCCATTGAAAATGAGCTGGGTGCTGAGCTGGGTACCTGCCGGTACCTACATCCTATCAGAAGGGCCTGTTTCTTTTACCTCTGAATTCTGTTCTTTGTGCAGGTTAGGCTGACTATCCTTCTCCAGGGTGGAGAAGGGCCATATTTTCCTTTACCCCCTAGCTGGGCAAACCGACCTATTGTTTTACAATTAGTTCAGTGAGCCAGATTGCTTTCGGTCTGTGTTGCTTCACTCTTTTTTTTTTTTAAGTGTTTTAAACTTATATTACAAAACTGACAGACTTGTTATGGCAATTCACACTTGTGATGATCCATGCTGAGCTCATGCTAAGTTGTTCTCTCCCCTTTAGGATAACATACAGTGCACAGAAATGGGTTCAACTTTACGTTTACCTGTGGATCTCAGACTTCACCCTGACTTAATTTATGCTTGTTTTTTTTTTTTTTTTTTTTTTTTTTTTTAGGAGAGACAATTGAGTTCACCTGACTAGCTGTCAACTATTTTTGTAAACTCTTACTATTATTTGAAACCCCTCTGTCTTCTTCTAAGTGCTGAATGCAGTAGCCCAGAAGCCCCTTGGAAACCAGCAGGTTTGGCTAACTAAGGACATTAGGGAGGAGCCCGTGATGAGGCAGGGAAACATTCTGCTAAGGACCTTGAGGACGGTTGCCTTGAGCAGCTTGCCCCTTCCTCTTAACACTGTTAAAAGGAAGTGGATGTTTTGTAGGTTTGTATAATGTCTTCATTGTCAGCCAGCTTAGGCTCCCTTTAATCCCCCTAGCTCTCACCCATGCATTCCTAGCTCCTAATGAGGTGTCAGAGCATTGCTAGCTGCAGGACAGACAGCTTGCTCTGTGTGGCCTCACACAGCAACGGGGCGGAAGCAATACAGTGGGCACGAGGCAGAGCCAGGGCATCTTTGAATGCTTGCTTTCCCCTGTTAAGTCTGCTCTCTGCCCTATCCTGCCATGCGGTTAGTAGGTTAATTGTGTCCACTTGTTTCCTTCCCTCCACTGACGGCCCACAGTGTTTTGCTGGTCACTGTGTTGGGCGGGAGTCCACACATCCCTTTGTTCAGCTTCTAGTCATGGGGAATCCCAACTGGAATTGTAGTTTGCATTGTGTGCTACATGCAAAAATGCCGCGTGATTCACAGATGGAAACACGACCATTGAAAAGCTGAAGCTCCTTGCAGAGTGTGGGTGAGACTACAGGACCCTTGATCTCCATCTTTGACCTTGCCAACTCTGGATCCCCTATGTTCCTAAGCTTCAGTTTGCGGAGGATGTTCATGTCTTTGCTGTAGGTGACCGTTGGCTGGATTCTGTCCCCAGACCTGGAATGGCTTCCCATGACCTTCTTTGGGGTATCATCATGCACCCTAACTGCATTTTCCTACTTGTGTTAAGTGAATGTCACTTCAAAATGTTACACGAGTGTCTCAAGGCATGATTAAGCGAATATTTCCCCCATGTGTCTAATGAGGAGACAGGCACAGAGAGGCAGCAAACCCTCGAGAACTCCCAGACATATCTGAAGAATGGGACTGAGAGCTCACAGGGACCAGGCCTCCTGACCTGCAGCGGCCCTGGGCCTTGCTCTCCTTGCACTGTGCTTTACGAGTAGCTTCTGCTCACTGTCCCCATGCAAGCCTGGGGCAGAGCTGGGGAGGGAGAGTCAACCATGCGCCTGCACTGGGCTGGTGACAGCCCTACGTGTGTGTGCGCGTGCACACACACACACACACACACACACACACAAACAGGAGCGTAAGTGCACACTTTTACACCCACACTCCAAAATGACATTTGATGGGGCTGTTTAAAAAGGATTGGTGAACCAGTGCCTTATTTGAACACAAGCAAGTCCCCATCTGTGCACGTGGTGATTGCAGTCAGCTCCAACCTGTCGCTTTCCTGTAGACTGTACAGGCAGCCTGGAACACCTGCTTTCCCCACTGACTCAGCCTGAGCTTTCACCTATTAATTAAAAAAGTTGTACAAGTCATGGTGGAGGGTGTGGCTGTTATACTGTCTTTCTGGACTTGAGTCCTAGAAACGAAACTTACTGTAGCTGACCTTTGAAGAAAATTGTTTTTCCTTGTTCATTTTATTTTGCACTAAATTCTGTGCAAGAAAGCATAGGGCTCTGAGCAACAACAGAGGACAGCTGTTATTTACACACAACCCCAGTAATAGCCAAGCTGGGAAACACAAAGTCACGAGGAAATGGAAAACTTGATGTTGTCTGCATGTCCCTGAAGTCTGCAGTGCTTGACCACAACTGAGAACATGTTCCTTGGTGATGCGGATGCCAGTGGAAGGAAGTGAGCCCTCGACAGGATGAATGTAACCTTCCGTGGCCTTTTCTGGGGCTTAAGTGTATTGGGCTCCTCCTCCACACTGTCTGTGCTCTGCCTTGCATCGTGTCTTATTACAGACAGAGGAAGGCTAGCATACTGATGTGCTGGTGGATGCAGCACTCGGGAGCCTCACCAGCACGTACAACCAGAACCCCATCGTTAGCTCACCACTCCATCACTGCTCTGCAAGATGATGTCCATTTGAGAGAGGGCCTCCATTTTCCCAGCACGAGCTTTAACGTGAACCCCCCTTGGGGCATCCATGCTTAGACTCCGAGTTGGGGATTCTAACCTGAAATGAGGGGGGAAAATGTTAAAAGGTGTCCTTGACATGAGCACAGCAGCCAAGAAGCTTCAGAGCCCAAGCTGCTCGGAAGACTGAAATAGGAAGATGACTCTAGGGAGTGGTTTTGGGCCAGTGAGGATCAACAGACTGAAGGGAGAGAGTGAGTCACCCTACCAGGCCTTTAGTACATGGCTTAATGTAGAAGTGTAACTAACAGGGGATGCAGAGTCTTCAAGAAGCTTGAATATATTATGGATATGGACATTCCCTGCACTTGGAAACCCAGAAATAAGCATTCTAGTTTGCCTTCTATGGCTGTGATGAGACTGTGACCAAAGCGCTTTCTTGGGGAAGAACGTGCTCATCTCACCTTACACCTTACAGTCCATCACCGAGGGCTGCCAGGGCAGGAGCTAAAGCAGAGCCTGGGGAGAAATGCTATTCACCGGCTTGCTTTCCATTGCTTGCCCAGCCTGATTTCTTACATAATTCAGGGCCATCTGCCCAGGGGTGGCATGCTCACAGTGGGCTGGGTCTTCCCACATTAGTCATCAATCATGAAAATGCCCCACAGAAATGTCCACAGTCTATCAGAGCATCCCTTGTCCCAGGTGCCTCTACGTTCTGTCAAACTGACAATAACTAACCAAGACAGTAGCAAAGAAATGAGCATCTTACTAGTGACAGCAACAGAAACAAAACTGAGTCAGTAAGCCAATAGGTTTGTGTTTAAGTCTGAGAGGAATAGTTTTTAAAGTGGTAGCATTCATTTTAAAGTGAATCTATAAAATGTCTATCTTATTTCAAGATGATTTTAATGAATTATTTTATAAGATATTAAATAAGTTTATGCCTTAAGAAGATATTCTTCATCCTCAATGATACTAATTGTTTAGCATTGATTTTATGAGCCTTTATGAAATTAATGAGCATTATTATAATTCAATTATCATCACTGTTGATTTTTGTTACAAATGTCTTTAGATGGGTAGAATGTTGAGATAGTACTGAAAGGTTAGTTTGGCCAAGAAACTAGGATTATCCATGTATAGTGAAGATGCTTTACCAAATATAACACAAATGGCCTCTAGCTCAATTCTGATAGAATCTGTACACCCGTCTGAAACTTCCTGATCTGTCTTTACTGTCTGCATTTCTGTAGTGTTCTGAACATCTACCAGAATTGCCCACTACACCGTGTACAACATTTGAAGGTTTTACTAGCTTGTAGGAACATTTATTTTCCACATTTACTAACTGGTTCCAAAGATCTACAAGCCAATAGTCAGTATACCACAGCAATGACCTCATGTGGTGGTACAAACTTTCTGTGTTGCTTTTTTTTCTCTCTGTGATAAAAAATTCTAAGAAGCAACTTAAAAGAAGAAGGATTTATTTGGCTCATGGTTTAAGGAGGTATAGTCCATCGTGATTGGGACAGCATGGCAGCAAGCACTAGGGGCTTGAGATCGTTTGCTCACATCTTGGTAGATCAGGAAGCAAAGGGCATTTGAGTTAGAAACCGGTTATAACCCACATGCCCCACTCTGTTCCCTACAACGAGGCCACACCTCCTGAGGTGTTATACCTCCCCCAAACAGTGCCAAGAACTGGGGACCTACTGCCCAAATACATGAGCCTGTGGGGAACATTCTACATCCTTACTATAATAGACCTTTTATTTTAAAAATATTATTTGATGCTGGGCACAGTGACTCATGCCTGTAATCCCAGCACTCACAGAGGCAGGGGCAGGCAGATCTCTGTGAGTTTGAGGCCAGCCTGGTCTACAAAGCAAGTTCAGGACATCCAAGGCTACACAGAGAAACCCTGTCTCAAAAAGCCAAATATGTGTGTGTGTGTGTGTGTGTGTGTGTATAAATTTGACCTTTGACAAAAAAAAGGTATTAGTGGAATTAACAGTGGCTGCATGATACCCAGCAGCCTAGAATTACAGATAATCCCTTAAGAGCAAACTTATGTACAAAGCTCCAGTCATCATGCACAGATACATCAAAGATTGAGGGCATTAGCCCAAGGGAAACAGTCACAGAAGAAGAGATGTAGTAGTTCCTGTTACGTGAAGTATATAGGACAGTCAAGTCCACTAAAGTAGAAAGTAGTGTGTTAGATACCAGGGCTGAGGCGGGGAGGGAGGTGAAAAACTGTTTAAGAAGGATGTAATTTCAGCATAAAGAGAAAAACACTCTGGACATGGACTGTGTTCAAAACACTCTAGTTATATTTAATTCCAAAGAACTGCACACTAAAAATGGCTGAAAGGGTAAATTATAAATGATGTGAATGTTACCATAGATAACAAAGCTTTCTCCCATTTTTGCAAATATGAATTTATCCTATACTTGCTTTTATAACAGTATTTCCTCAGTGAAAACTGCATACACGCACACACAGACACACAAATGTACACACACACACAGACAGTTGGAGTAAATTTACTTTCAAGAATGCTTATTTCAAATTTCAAAGTCTCTGTGGGGCACTGTACTCTTTCATGAGGCTTTGCTTTTGGGAGGCTGTGGTAGGGATGGATAGTGTAACAGAAAGACCCCCTCAGAGGGAAGAGTTTGTTCGAAAGCCTGGGGTGGGAAGGGGTAGCAGGTGCGCAAGCGTGGGAGGAAAGGACTGCCAGGCACAGCCCGACCCATGTAGGGCCCTGAACATCCACCCATCACAACCATGGCAGATGCAGAGGCAACACAGCATTTAAAATGGTATCCATTGTGTAATGTCCATCTGACAGGCATGTGATGAGCAGACCCTTAATGTCCTATGGAGCCTGAATAGATGCAGTGGGACAAGAGAGGAAATGCCATGAAGCCACATAAAGTTTAGAACCAACAAGGCTTTGGGTTCTAATAAGTAATGACCAGTTAGTCATGTGTTGAAGGCCCTGAAAAGAAAGGCAGCTAGTGCAGTCGGAAGTGACGTGGAGACACTGTAAGCATCTGTCTGCAGGCACACCTTGTTGTAAACTCTTTACCTGAGGTCTTGGAACGGGTCCGCTCTGACAAGGGGGGTCTCCACTGAGTGTTCAAAAATTGCTCCTTCTGGCCCTAAAAAAAGAAGTAGAAGCCCAGAGATGTATCAGAACAAATGTACAAGAAGTGGCATCAGCCAAATTAAATAGGCAGTCCAGCCAGGAAGCTGAGCACCCCATACCAGAACCCAGAGGTTTTGAGAATTAGTTTACTCATCCAGAGTGAGAAGTTACAGCACCGACTTCCTATGAAGGGCCACAGTCACAAGGCAAGCTCCTGAAACCCACTGTAACGTGGTGGTTACCTTCACACTAGAGAACAAGGGAAGCCTCACCCTCGGCTGTCCAGCTATGCATGCACATGCAGATATTGCCAAAGCTGAAATCTGGAACCTCAAACACTTTGGGTCCCAAGCACTTTGGGTAAGGGATGCTGAGCCTGTAGTCTGTGTTCCTTTCTTTCTTTTCTTTCCTCTTTCTTTCTTTCTTTCTTTCTTTCTTTCTTTCTTTCTTTCTTTCTTTCTTTCTTTCTTTCTTTCTTTCTT